TTTGGACTAAATTTGGATATTATTGCATTATTATTGACTATTGTTTTTCTAGTATTGGATTATTGATAGGGATTATTTCCCTAGGATCATTATTGGACTATTGATTGATTATTGAGATTTTCTTATTGATTATGAGTATCGATAATTGCCGAATATTGAGAAAATTTCGAGTATTGATTATTGATTTGAAAATGAGTAGCGCCTCGAATATTGTTTTTGAAATAAATTCAAAAAAATTTATTCTGATTTTCGGTAAATAAAAGTGGGGCTTACATCGGATCACCTAAAAGACGATAAAAACAGACGACCTGCGAAGAAACCGATCCGAGAAGAAGATGAATTAGATCCTCGGACCCAGTTTAAAGAAAAGAGTCGAAACGATCGGGTTGAACCTGAAGAAGAGATAGAAATGATTTACGTTGATGAATCGACGTGTCAAAAGTCATTACGTATTGGACGTAACTTCCAGGAGCTCGTTTGATCTGAACTTATTACATTTCTCAAAAACAATCCTGATGCCTTTGTCTGGAAACACGAAGATATGAAGGGAATAGACCCCAGAATTGCTTGTCACAAGTTGAATCTTGATCGAACCATTAAACCCGTTGTTCAAAAATGAAGATAACTGGGGCCGGATTGTCAAAAAGCCTTGGAGGAGGAAGTCAAAAACTCATTGACAACAAGTTCATTAAGGAGGCCAAATACCCGACTTGGGTATCCCGTCCCGTTCTTGTTAAGAAGAGTAATGGCTTGTGGCGCTTATGTATAGACTTTTTCGATTTAAACAAAGCTTGCCCAAAAGATAGCTACCCATTTACTCACATAGACTACATGGTTGATGCTACTTTGGGCCATGAATTGATGAGCTTCATGGATGCCTACTCGGGTTACAATCAAATTCCTATTAATCCTGAGGATTCTGAACACACTTCCTTCTATTCTGCCCGAGGTCTTTATTGTTACACCATGATACCATTCGGGTTGAAGAACACCGGAGCCACTTATCAGCGTCTGGTCAATAAAATGTTTGCCAACTTAATCGGTCATACCATGGAAGTTTATGTTGATGACATGCTCGTTAAATCGGAAAACTCATCTGATCATGTTATGCACCTCCAAGAAATGTTCAATATTCTCCGTGATTACTCAATGGTCTTGAATCCCAAAAAATATACCTTTGGAGTCGGATCAGGAAAGTTCCTCGGATATATGGTTAGTCAGCGGGGTATTGAAGCTAGCCCTACCAAAATTAAAGCTATTCAAGATTTGACTCCCCCAACGTCGGTCAAAGGTGTGCAGGCCTTAACTAGCCGACTTGCTGCACTTAATCGGTTCATCTCCAAATCAACCGATTGATGTAAACCCTTTTTTGAAGCCATCAAGAAAGGGAAATGTTTTGAATGGACCGAGGATTGTCAAAAGGCTCTTGTAAGTATCAAGAAAGCTCTCGCTCATCCACCGACTTTACAAAAACCAGTTCCGAAAGACATGTTATATCTTTACTTGGGAGTTAGTGACTCGGCGATCAGTGTTGTGCTTGTGCGAGAAGATGGAACACAACAATCACCTATGTATTACATGAGCAAAGCTTTACATGACACCGAGTTGCACTATCCACCTATGGAAAAACTTGCCTTTGCGCTCATTGTTGTTGCCCGAAAACTGCGCCCATATTTTCAAGAACATCGATAACCGTCCGCACGTCGTATTCTTTGCGATAAATCTTACATCGACCCGACACTTTGGGACGTATGATTAAATGGGTTGTGGAACTCGGTTAATTTGATAAACATTACCAACTGAGAACCGCAATCAAAGCACAAGCTCTTTCCGACTTTATAGCGTAATTCACGCCTACCATAGAAGTCCAAAATGACGACCGACCATGGGTCCTCTACATTGATGGGTCTTCCACAGCCAACCGAGCAGGTGGAGGAATAGTCTTGGCTGACCCTGGAAATAAACTTTTTTGCCACTCAGTCAAATTCCTCTTTCTGGCAACAAATAATGAAGCAGTATATGAGGCTATGTTGTCCGGACTGAATCTAGCCGAATCTATGAATATCTGCCATCTTAAAATATTCTCTTATTCTCAATTGCTTGTCAATCAGATAAACAGATTATTTAAAGTTAAGGAACCTCGGTTGGCGCCTTATTTGCCTCTTACCAAGCATAAGTTGACAAAGTTCTCTGTTCAAATTGAGCACATTCCTCAAACTCTCAACGTTCAAGTAGATGCTCTATCTCGTTTAGCTTTCAATGTCAGTATGGAAAGTGTGTAGTATGTCCAAGTCGGACAACAAGATCAACCATCAACTCAGCTTCAAGAATTAATGGCCACTGATATGACTTCATCGTCAAAACTGCTGACTTGGATGGATCCGATCATTTGGTATTAGGAAACTGGGGCCTTACCTCCAAATCCTTAAGAAGCTCGAGCCCTCCAAGTTCGAGCTGCCCGGTTCACAATGGATAATGGAACTCTTTACAAAAGAGGATACTCAGTTCCGCTTCTTAAATGTGTAACCGAATCTGAATCCAGATATGTTCTGGAAGAAATTCACGAAGGAATTTGCGGAAGGCATCCGGGTGTCGAAGCTTTAAGCTATAAAATTTTACGACAAGGCTACTATTGGCCGACCTTGAAGTCAGACACTGCAACTTGGTTATGAAAGTGTCCGAAGTGCCAAGTTTTTGCACCTAATGTCAATCTGTTTCCCAAAATGCTCAAGTCGGTTTACAGCCCTTGGCCTTCTGCAAAATGGGGAATTGATTTGATTGGACCCCTACTGACTGGAATGGTAGTTGCTGTCGATTATTTCAGCAAATGGGCCGAAACTGAACCATTGGCCACTATTACCGAACAAAAAATAGTCGATTTTATATGGAAGTCGATAATCTGCCGATTTGGAGTACCGAATTCCGTTGTTACCGAAAACGACAAACAATTTGAAGGCAAGAAGCTCAAATCCCTTTGTGAATAATACGAGATAAAACACTTTTTCTCCTCACCATATCATCCCCAGTCAAATGGCCAAGTTGAAGCTGTTAACAAAATTAGAAAGAACGACCTCAAAGTTCGACTTGATGCCGCCAAAGGTGCTTGGCCTGAGGAATTGCCACATGTTTTATGGGCATATCGGAAGACAATAAGAACTTCCACAGGCAAAACTCCATTCTCATTAACATATGGTTCAGAAGCTGTTGTCTCTGTCAAACTCGGTGCGCCGACATATCGAATTCAAAATTACACCGAAAACTCCAACTCGGAAAATATGAAGGCAAATCTTGATTTACTTGATGAACTTTGCACCCGAGCCGAACTAAAAAATGTTGCATATAAACAGAGAAGTGAGAGGTACATCAATTCCAAATTTAAACCTCGCGGCTTTCAAGTTGGAGATCTCGTTCTTAAATGAGTCACTGGGCCTGACCCTGGTCCACTCAACAGAAGTGGGAAGGACCCTTTAAAATTGTTCAAGTCCTACCACATGGAGCATACCGAATTGAATACCTTGATGGGACTCCGCACCAGTACCCTTGGAACTCTGTATTCCTGAAAAAGTTTTATCAGTAATCTACTGACGATCGTGTAACATGTTTTTCTTTTGACGAACTCACCTTTTGCTTTTGTGGAATGAAGACGCTCTTTGATGTAACGAAGTTCAAATTACTCACTTATAAATCTGCACAAAAACTTGGTACCGAAGTAAACATTACTACACTCGGTTTAGCTGGTGCCTTATAAAAACTCCAAATCCCACGTTTAATTTGGTCAGGCCAAGGCTCGTCTGCGCGGATTCAACGAAAATGATTTGGCGGTCCTCATTGACAGCCGAGTACACTTGGCTCAGTTAAGATCATTTCTGTAATCGAACCGTGATGAAGTTCGGTGAATCCCATTTAACTCGGACACAGTATGAACACTGTCGAGTATTGCAAGTTTTGAACAGCTTGCACATCGGTTTTCATTGACACCGATTTCATTATCAGATCAAGTTGTTCTCGAAAATAATTTTTGCACAACTCGGCTTTAGACTTAACATATTTCCTTACAAAATTATTTCATTTTAACAAGTTTGACAAGTTTTAAATCTGAGTTGAAGTAACATATATATGCACATTTTCCGAATCTATCACACTTGATCTCAATAATTGCTAAAACAAAATAGCAAAAAGAACAACTCAGTTGAAAATAAAAACAGTTGTTCACTTCATTTCAACAGTCGGGAATACATCATAATAACTTACAAAGAGTCTAAACATACTGATGTTCCGATTCTACAGCAAAACACAAAATGTAAAGATTACAAATAAAAAGTCAAACAACATCTTCCTTCCCTTCCTAGTCGGTCCCGCTGCCTCCTCCGACTTCCAAATTTGTTGATATTACCATCTGATCATGAAGTTTCATGAGCACAACCATCTCTTTTGCCTTTGCTGTTGTGTCAATTGCCACATCAGAGACCGGAACAAACTCATGTCGAGGATCAGATAAGTTCATGGGAACACCTTCCACGTCAGGAATGATTTCAGCCTCGCTAATTTCACCATTTTTTAGCTTAGCCTTCTCCTCGGCATAGGCTTCAACAACCTTCCGAATTTGCTCCGGAGTCATGTCGTCAAAATTCTGCTCGATGATGACATCAGCCAGGGTTGTGATGTAAAGGTCGGCTAGTTCCTTCCTTTCTTCCTTTTCTCCTTCAAGAATCATATTGACATATGCACGATGGAGGAGCCCTTCCCTTTCTTCGGTAAGAGGGGGCAGATTCAGGTTTTTGATCATTTTGTCGGCACGACAAAGAATCCATTCGCAAAATTCTCTCTCATCCTTGTCAGCTTTGATGTGCATGCCTTTTATCTCACGATCGAAATTATATTTTTCAAGCTTTCAGAACAAAAAATACCTGAGCTCTTCGGTATCGTAGAATCTGTTGTCAAAGCGCTCAATTACCCAATGCAGATTGATGCACGTGTTCATCTCTAAATCTAAGTCAGGACCGACGTCTCTATCTTCGTCCTCTTTCACCTCGACATTAGTCGCCGAATCGGTCAAATTATCACCGGGCAACTCCTTTACCACCGAAGTCTTCTTCCCCTCTTGTAATTCCGCATCGTACATAAGTTGACCATGGGCAGTTTTTTCATTTTTAAGTTTCATCAATTCGGCTTGGTGAGCTTCCCGGGTTCGGATCAAATCGACTGCATTTCCGAGTGGTTCCGACGTGTTTCTTGATGCTCGGTTCTCTCATTCAACAACTTCTCATCCATTTCCTCAACTTTAGCTTCGAGAACCTTGTTATGCTGCTCGATGAAAGCTAACCGACTCTGCAGTTCCTCGACTTCGGTATTCAAGACTTTTTTCTCGTTGGTGAGAGTTGAAATCTCTTTCTGCGCAACTTCAATTCGTGCCTCACGATTGACAAGTTGTTCTTTAACATAGTTTTAGTTTTGGATGCTTCTTCCTGCAAAGATGCGATCGTTCCGTCTCGCAGAGCTACTGTGTGTCTTTTCTCATCCAATTGCGACACAACGCGTCGGTGATCATCTTTCGCAGCGCCAGACTTACCAATGCGCGACCCATGCATGCTTTAGCATAATTCAACTTCGTAACGCTTGACAAAGATGACACCCCGATTTCAGACATCGGATCCCATGCCATTAAGGGAACTTGAGCAGCACTTATGGCGTTCTTAGGTATGGCGAGCCTCACGTCAATTCGCGACACTTTGACCGACTGAAAAGTAGTAAACCACTCTTCGACGACTCCTTTCGACACTTTCAAGTTGGCCACCCTCTCTTCATCAAAGACAAGAAAGATTTCCCCACCAACGGAGAGCTGTTTGTTTTCTTTCCTTTATCACGTCGGCCAGAGTCGTGTCTTTTTTGACCTTCTTTCATCTCCAGTGGGGGTATCTTTAGAGGACATCTTTACTAGCTTCATTTTCTTCTGTTTTGCTTGAGACGTTCCTGAGGGCTTCGGAGGTGATTGCTATTTTTTCATTTCTTTAGTGGGCACCTCGGTATGTGCTTGCTCAACCAAAGATAACTCACCTTCAACCGGATTCATTTCGGTTCTGCTTGATTAATCGCCTTCGAATTAATGACCGGAGGAGTACTTGAAGTCCCTTCTTCCTGGTGTGAGTTTGGACTTTCTAAATTCAATGCCGAGGTCGCACCTGCTCCGACCTCAGTTGATTTTTGCCCCGCAGTTCTCTGCCTCAACACCTTCACCAAATCTCTCCTCATGATGTTAGTTAATCTCAGTTCTCGACTCTTATTGAACTTGGATTGAATGTCCTTATTTGGAAAATGACATCTAAACTCTTTCGCGTCCTCAACAGTTCTGTATCCAGAAAATCCAAGCAGTGGATAGTAAACTACAAACATATAGAATTCAGAAAGTCGGGGCAAATAAGTATTGAATAAAAGATTATCAAAGAGAGTTATTAATATCCATTAACTTGGAGTAAAAATAGAATTTGATACTCCTGGAGGCAGACCAGCAGACTCAAGTTTTAAGTCAACTATCAATGTCTTGTAGTTACGGAGGTCCTCGTCCAAATCAACTAACTCAAGCAACCGTCCACTGAATTCTGAACTCAGTTTGGTTCTTTTGGTTTCGATCCCTTCTCTACAAAGAGGAAAAATTTCCGACCTGTTAGTACACAAAATAACATTTTATCAGAATAGCAGAAACTTCAAAACACAACACTAAACTTACTTTGTCCAGAGTGAATATTCATGGGAATGGTCATCCCATCAATACGAGGTTCATGAAAAAATTCAACTGACTGCCATTCACCTCCAACCCACAACCATTCTTCCTGGAAACCGTTAAGAGTCTCCGGGATGTCAGTTATGATTTCTCCAACCTTTAAACCGACTTGAGGCTTTGCTCCGGCGAAAAAGCAACATGAAGTCTCTGCTACTCTCCTGCTCGGACTTTTCTTAAAAGCATAAATGCTTCTGATGTCGTCGCACGATGGAAGATCCCAACCTTGTAAGAATATGTGGCCCAAAAGCATTGGGCTCACATTTAATTATACTATTGGGCCATACCTTATTTAATAGTCAAACAAATCTAAGCCATTAATCTGGATATTTGATGGACGTACCAGATCTAAAGACACGCTTATATAAATTGGTCCTCTCTTCTCCTATTAGGGTACGTTGTCATAATCCCATCACTTTTTTGCTACGTTAAGGAATGGTCAGGAGGGAGAAACTGATTTAGATCTAACGCTCGATTCAACCTTTTGTGATCATCAAGATTAAGATCACATATCATGTCGTCTTCCGCATCAAGTAAGTATTTTATGTATACCTAGTTATTTATTCAAGATCCTTGATGAAGTTTACATGTGGTATCAGAGCATGTGTTGTGGATAATTAATTTGTTTGTATAAAAGCATGTCTGTATGATAATTTATGAAAGTTTCATTTGACTGTCTTGTATGGATCTGTAATTCGTTAATGATATCGCAATTGCCGAATAAAAATTAAATGGCTTGATCTATTGCGATTTGAGTTGGTTATGATGAGTAATTGTTGTACGGATGTGTGGGCCAATCTATTACATGTTTTAGTTGGCAATTTGAAAGAATAAAACATCAAAGTTGGTGTAATGCCCCGTTTGTTTATGAATAATTGAGATTATTTATTTTGCATAATTGTTATTATTATTGTTATTATTATTATTATTATTATTAGTAAATATTTATTTGTCATTAAATGTCTAATTGTTTTAAATGCTTATTATTATTAAATCATATTATTATGTGTCTAAGTATGTATTATTAATACAATAATAAAATGTGTTTATATATGTATATCATCCGGATTAATTTAGTATTCGTCGCCAATCGAATCGAACGAAAATTCTCGTTGTTGCTTTGTATTTTATTCCCGGCCCAATTGAGATTAATTTTCCAGCCTAATGTAATTAAATTCTAGCCCAACTCTCTATTGATTTTGGCCCAAGTTGAGTTAATTGCCTTGGCCCAATTAGAGAAGCCATTCGCAGCTTTTGAAATCCTTTCAGATTACCCGCACAGAACGAGTCTTCCTCTTCTGTTTCTCATCGCGATTTTTGGGGAGAGTTGATCTCGCACGTTCATCCCCTCCCCAAGCCTGCATAAGAACCGGTCAAGTTCTTCTCTTCACTTGAATTCCAGCAAACTCAAGCAGCCCCTGTTTTTTTAAAAAAAAAAAAAAATTGAGAACCTGCAAGTTCCAATCGCCATTGAATTCCGGCGTTGTTCCGAGCAGTCCCTGTAATATCCCATTCAGTTATTAATAGTAGGTATCAGTAATTTTTAAAGATTAAGTTATTCTGAGGTCAAATAAGTTAAGATTTTGAAGTTTTCAAGTCACACGGGTCGTGTGACAAGGCACACGAGTCGTGTGAAGTCACACGAGTCGTGTGACCTATCACACGAGTCGTGTGGGGTAGGTGCCGACAGTTATTAAGCTACGGCTTTCTCACACGAGTCGTGTGGACTGAGTCACACGTGTCGTGTGAGCTCGCATGAGTCGTTTGTCTCAAGGCACACGAGTCGTGTGAGGTCACACGAGTCGTGTGATGTAAGACACGAGTCGTGTGACCGACATAAATGTTCAGATTGTCATTATTTCATTTTTGGTGGCAACTAAAGTTATTTTTGAGCATTAAATTAAGAAAATCTGAGGTGTAAATGTTAGGTAAGGATATATTTAAATTGATTAATTTTTACAAGTTTAAATTGTTTAATTTGTTAATTTCTACACTTCAAATAAATTATTCCAAAATTTTGGCTATAAATAGGGCCTTTAGAATCTGAAATTTTCACACCAAAAATATTTCCAAGTTATATAAGTACTTAAGGAGTAATAATAGTAGAGTGATAATTATAGTGGAGGGAGGAAATTTTGAAGTGGAAGGAAGAAATTTTCAAGAGCAAGTCCTTGAAGGAGATAATTCACTTATGTGAAAATTCATGCTCATATTAAGTTCATGGTCAACTTGATTTCATGTTAAATAAGTTGTTAGTATGCATGTTTAAGTGTTATGATTGTTATGTTGAGTTCAAGTTGTTATATGCTTTAATGATATAAGGATTATTTAGTATGATTTTAATTGAGATTTTGATATTATTTGAAGTTAGTATGCAAATTGATGTCATTATATTAAGATGAGAAATGATTAAGTGGCATATATGATGTTAAAGTTTTTAAGAGAAGTTGATATGAAATGTTCATGATGAGTATGTTGATAAAAGTATAAATTTGAGAGCATTTATGATATGTTTAGTATAATATGTTAAGAATGCATATTTCTTAAATTGTTTTAAGTTTTGGTGTTATGATTTAAAGTTAAGTTTTATGAGTAATACCAATTAAGACAAGTTTAGTAAGTTATAATTCATGAGGATGATGTTGGTAAAGGATAAGTATATTTGAGTTTATGTATAATTTGAGCCAACATCTAAGTGTTATCAAGTATGATTAATATGAGTTATGGGGCAAATTTCAAAATTGGTCCTATAACTTGGTCACAGTCCAAAAAACCACCCTTATACTGACCACTTTCAATTTAGGTCCTATAATTTGTCGATTTCATCAATTTTGGTCCTTTTTATCCGGACCCTGGATTAAAAAGTGACGTGGCATGACGTGTCAGTTTTTTTAAGGTTACATGGCGTGATTATCATCTACGTGGCACATCAATTTTGGTCCTATAATTTATCGATTTCATCAATTTTGGTCCTTTTTTCATGTCACGTCACTTTTTAATCCAGGGTACGGATAAAAAAGGACCAAAATTGATGAAATCGACAAATTATAGGATCTAAATTGAAAGTGGTCAATATAGGGGTGGTTTTTTGGACAGTGGCCAAATTATAGGACCAATTTTGAATTTTTGCCTGAGTTATGGCATTGAATAAAAGTTGAAAAGATTTAAAGTTATTCAATGAATTTATTTGAGATATAGCATGTTTATGATTCAGATAAGTTATAAGTTAACAGTTGAAGTTAAGAATCTCAGTATCTTATTGAGTATTCGAGCATAGTACTTAGTATATTTGTTTATATTTGTATGAAGCGTTACAAGTCGGCTACGAGAACAACACTTACAAACAATTTTTCAAGAAGAAAGGTGGGGACCCAGACTGGGTATTACATTGAGTATAATAGCTATTATCATGTTCGAGGTATGTACAAAGTTTAGTAAAGTAATAAGCTCGCTCAGTCAAGACTGGGTTCTGTGGGAGGCGACCCCCAGAATGTGATCACGTGAGAACCGGCCCAAGTTACCGGTAGTTGCAAAGTTCAAGTTAAAGTATCAGTTAGATATCGAAAGATTAAGCTTAGATACATGCCAAAGATCATGTTATTGATATTATTATTGTTGTTTACTTTAGTATGGGTTTTTACGGAGTATAGTTGATTAGTACTCACGCACTACTATTATCATTTTTTCAGGAAATAAAGACGGCGCGCAGGTGTGAGGAGCTGTGGTGGTCGTGGATGTGAATAAGTTTCTATTGAGAATTTTCAATAAGGTTTCGGTTTGTAAACCACGCTTGTAATATTTCCGCTACGTTTCTTTAAGATTTGAACAAGTGTGATTTTAAAGGTTGATTTATCAAGTTGATTGTATGAACTGTTAACTTTAATATTTGTTCAATGTTTAAAATTTGTTTTATTTATGTCTAACTTAGTTGTTAGATAAAGTTTAAGTAAACAGATTTTTAAAGTAGATAAGTTAGTAGCATCCCGAGTTAAGAAGGTTTCGAAATATTTATAGGTATGTTCAAAATAAGTTGTGAAAAATTTACTCTGATAAGCGGGGTGTTACAGTTGGTATCAGAGCTAAAGTTCAAATGCTCTGTATACTAAAAGATTAAGATTTGGAAAGAAATTTTCAAGAAAAACCGACCACACCACACTCACACCTCGCCAATTATCAGGTAAGTGTTGTTAAAATTTTCTTTATTATGAATTTTAAATATATGCAAATTACTAAGTCTATGCTCGATAAGATATCCGAATTTTATGAATCAGATTATATGCTCAATATATATATAAGTATATATATTTTCTTAGTGTATTAAAAGTTTATCTTTTACGATAAATTTTAGATGGCACCCCAAGCTCGAAGAGAGATGACGACATCAGAAGTCGTTACTCAGTTTCGTGGGTACAACTCTGAGAAATTCTCAGGACAAGGAGATCCTCGTCTAGTGGAGGAGTGGATTCAGGGTCTCGAAACCATTTTTGAGATTACCGAATGCACAGAAAGGCAGCGTATTATTTGTGCTCAATTGCAAATGACCGGAGATGCTCGGCTATGGTGGAACTCCTACTGGGGCATGCGTCCTGGGGAGAAAGAAAATCTCACTTGGATGCAATTCAAGGAGATGATGGAAGAGAAATACTATCCAGTTCACTATCGGGCTGAGATGGAACGTCAATTCTTGGCATTATCCCAAAAAAATCGTACAGTTGATGAGTATGAGAGAGAGTTTACTAGATTGGGATCTTTTGTCAAATATCTGGTGGACACAGAGGCTAAAAAGGCAAGACGATTCCAAGATGGGTTACAACGAGAAATCCGTCATCATGTAGTTGAACACTGTATTCAGACTTATGCTGATATAGTGGTCAAGGCTCAAGAAGTAGACGCAAGTTTCCGGAGGGGCGATGGCCAAATTCAGGTGCAGCCAATTGCTCAAATTCCAGCTCAACCACCAGTACAGCCCACGCCTGTCCAACAGGCTAAAGATAAGAACAAGAGGAAGTGGAAAGGTCCCCAGAATAATAACAAGCAGAAGCAGCAAGCTAATCGACCACAATTTCCAGCTTGTGGTAAATGTGGGCGTAGTCATCCAGAAGCATGTTTAGCAGGGCAGAATATTTGTTTTTTCTGTCGGAAGCCTGGTCATAATCTCAAGGAATGTCTAGATAGGCAGCAGCAGAGGAATCAGGGGCAGCCTCAGCAGCAGAGGGCAGGACCTCAAGCTCAAGTGTATGCTGTGGAGCAAGTTCAGGTAGAACATAACCCAGGTACTATGTCTGGGATGATTATTCTGAACGATATTCCTATTTTTGCATTGTTTGATACGAGAGCGACGCATTCATTCGTGTCAAAACGATGTATAGAAATCACAGGAGCTAAATTCATTAACACTGTTGACCCTCTTGAGGTAAGCTTAGCCTCAGGACAGAAAATAGTGACGAGTTCTAAGGCAGATAACCTTAGACTCAATATTGGAGGACGAATCTTGGAGGTCGGCGCGTACGTCATCGAGATGAGGGATTTTGACCTCATACTTGGTATGGATTGGCTAACATGTTACCGTGCTGATATTCGTTGTCATAACCGAGAGGTAATTCTTTATCTTTCGGAGGAGGATCAAATTCCTTTCTATGGCTCGAAGATGCGAACGTTGCCTCGGGTGATTTCTATGGCGAAGGCAAAGAAGATTATAAGACGGAAGGATTGTCAAGGATATTTTGTGAGCATTGTTGACGAAAATTCGAGATCACAAACACCTCATGATGTTCCAATTGTTCGTGAGTTTGTGGATGTGTTCTCGGACCAACTACCAGGAAGACCACCCAACAGGCAAGTGGAGTTCACAATCGATCTTGTTCCTGGAGTAGCGCCTGTGTCGAAGGCACCATATCGGATGGCACCAAAAGAATTGCAAGAGTTAAAAACTCAAATTCAAGAGTTGTTGAAACTTGGTTTCATTAGACCAAGCATTTCGCCTTGGGGAGCACCTGTATTGTTTGTCAAGAAGAAGGATGGTTCCATGAGGATGTGTAGCGATTATCGGGATTTCAACCGGTTAACGATAAAGAATAAATATCCGCTCCCAAGGATAGATGATTTGTTTGATCAGTTGAGAGGAGTTTGCGTATTTTCAAAGATAGATTTACGCTCAGGCTATCATCAACTGAAGATTAAGGAATCTGACATAGCTAAAACTGCGTTTCGGACAAGATACGGTTACTACGAGTTTGTGGTGATGCTGTTTGGGGTAAGTAATGCACCAACGGTATTAATGGATTTGATGAACCGTGTTTTCCACAAGTACTTAGAACAATTTGTCATCGTCTTTATTGATGATATTTTGGTATATTCCAAGAGTCAAGAAGAGCATGAGCAACATCTGAGGGTAGTTCTCGGTACCCTTAGAAAGGAGAAGTTGTATGCCAAATTCTTTAAGTGTGAGTTTTGGCTAAAGAAAGTGGCATTCTTAGGCCATATTATCACTGAGAGAGGTCTAGAAGTGGATCCAACAAAGATTGCTGCAATTCAAAATTGGTCAGTACCGAAGAATCCATCAGAAGTTCGAAGTTTTCTCGGATTAGCAAGTTATTATCGTAGATTTATCGAAGGTTTTTCAAAGATTGCTCTCCCTTTGACAAATTTAACGAGAAAATCTGTGAAGTTCGAGTGGTGTGAGAAGAGTTTCCAAGAGCTTAAGAAGAAGCTTACATCAACTCCAGTGCTGATTATCCCTGATCCTACTAGAAGTTTCACTATTTACAGTGATGCTTCGAAAAGGGGTCTTGGATGCATACTCATGCAAGATGGTCAAGTTGTTGCATATGCGTCGCGACAATTAAAACCGCATGAGCAGAATTATCCAACTCATGATTTAGAGTTGGCAGCAGTAGTGCACGCACTCAAGATTTGGAGGCATTATCTCTATGGTGGCCAGTGTGAAATATTCACTGATCACAAGAGTTTGCAATATATATTCACTCAGAAGGAGCTCAATATGCGCCAAAGAAGATGGTTGGAGCTTGTGAAGGATTATGATTGCACTATCCAATATCATCCGGGGAAGGCGAACGTGGTAGCAGATGCCCTAAGCCGTAAGGTGAAGGGTGGATTGGCATGTTGTATCACTCAACAGAATCAACTTATTAAAGAGTTTGCTCGGATGTAGATTTGAAGTTGTCAAGACACTTCCTAAGGAGGTTACTGGAAATGTTAACTCAATGAGAGTTCAGCCTATGCTGAGAGAAAGAATTCGGAAGGAGCAATCTTTCGATCAATTTGTTCGGAAGATGGAAGAAAAAGTTCAAGTTGGAGGGTAGAAGGCTTTTACCGAGGTTCCGATGGAGCATTAGAGTTCAGAGGAAGGATTGTTGTGCCAAAAGTCGAGGCCTTGCGGAAGGAGATCTTGACAGAAGCATATAGTGCACCATATTTATCTTACCCTGGAAGCACCAAAATGTATCATGACTTGAAAAAGTCGTTTTGGTGGAAAGGGATGAAGAGAGATGCAGCAGATTTTGTGAAGAAGTGTTTGGTCTGTCAGCAAGTTAAGGCCGAGAACCGGAGTCCATAGGCCTGTTGCAACCAATAGAGATTCCTAAATGGAAGTGAGAAGAAGGTACCATGGATTTTGTTACAGGGTTACCAAAGTCATCAGAACAACATGACGCGATTTGGGTAGTAATAGACAGGTTGACGAAAGTCGCTCGTTTTATGCCTGTATCAATGACTATGTCGATGTACAAGCTAGCAGAAATTTATACTCGTGGAATTATTCGACTCCATGGAGTGCCTGTCACAATCATATCTGATCGAGATCCCAGATTCACTAGTAATTTTTGGGGAAGTTTGCATGAAGCAATGGGTACGCAGTTGAGTTTCAGTTCGGCTTATCATCCAGAGACAGATGGCCAGTCAGAAAGGACGATCCAGACACTTGAAGATATGCTTAGAGCTTGTATTCTGGATAGAGGTTCCAAATGGGAGAAGTGGTTGCCGTTAGTGGAATTTGCCTACAACAACAACTATCATTCATCAATTCGAATGGCTCCCTATGAAGCACTTTATGGCCGCAAGTGTCGTTCACCTCTTTATTGGGACGATGTTGGAGAGAAGCAAATACTTGGCCCCGAAGATGATTGAAGAAACTGTTGAGAAAGTAGCCTGGATTCGAGAAAGGCTCAAGACTGCTCAAAGTCGACAGAAGTCTTCAGCAGATAAGCATAGGCGAGAAATGCAATTTGAGGTGGGAGATAAAGTCTTCTTGAAAGTTCGACCTATGAGAGGGGTTATTCGTTTTGGGAAGAAAGGTAAGTTGCATCCTCGCTATATAGGTCCGTTGGAAGTTCTTGAACGGGTTGGAGAAGTATCTTATCGATTAGCTTTACCTCCTGAGTTGGCAAGCATGCATAATGTTTTTCATGTATCGATGTTGCGTCCATATGTGTGCGATCCAGATCATGTGTTGCAGCACAATGAGATACAAATTCAACCAGATTTGACTTATGAGGAGAAGCCGGTAGCAGTTTTGGACCGAAAGATTCATAGACTCCGGAAGCGAGATGTTCCACTTGTTCGTATCAAGTGGAATGGACATGGAGAATCAGATGCCACTTGGGAGCGAGAAGCAGATTTTAGAACTCGATTTCTAGATTTCGAGTTTTGATATTTCTGGTAAGTATGATTTTAAATTTCTTTATTTTAGTTCAAGTATTTCCGAGGGCGAAAATAGTTTAAGGGGGATAGATTGTAATATCCCATTCAGTTATTAATAGTAAGTATCAATAATTTTTAAAGATTAAGTTATTCTGAGGTCATATAAGTTAAGATTTTGAAGTTTTCAAGTCACACGGGTCGTGTGACAAGGCACACGAGTCGTGTGAAGTCACACGAGTCGTGTGACCTGTCACACGAGTCGTGTGGAGTAGGTGCCGACAGTTATTAAGCTACGGCTTTCTCACACGAGTCGTGTGACTCAAGGCACACGAGTCGTGTGAGGTCACACGAGTCATGTGATGTAAGACACGAGTCGTGTGACCGACAAAAATGTTCAGATTGTCATTATTTCGTTTTTGGTGGCAACTAAAGTTATTTTTGAGCATTAAATTAAGAAAATCTGAGGTGTAAATGCTAGGTAAGGATATATTTAAATTGATTAATTTTTACAAGTTTAAATTGTTTAATTTGTTAATTTCTACACTTCAAATAAATTATTCCAAAATTTTGGCTATAAATAGGGCCTTTAGAATCTGAAATTTTCACACCAAAAATATTTCCAAATTATATAAGTACTTAAGGAGTAATAATAGTAGAGTGATAATTATAGTGGAGGGAGGAAATTTTGAAGTGGAAGGAAGAAATTTTCAAGAGCAAGTCCTTGAAGGAGGTAATTCGCTTATGTGAAAATTCATGCTCATATTAAGTTCATGGTCAACTTGATTTCATGTTAAATAAGTTGTTAGTATGCATGTTTAAGTGTTGTGATTGTTATGTTGAGTTCAAGTTGTTATATGCTTTAATGATATAAGGATTATTTAGTATGATTTTAATTGAGTTTTTGATATAATTTGAAGTTAGTATGGAAAATGATGTCATTATATTAAGATGAGAAATGATTAAGTGGCATCTATGATGTTAAAGTTTTTAAGAGAAGTTGATACGAAATGTTCATGATGAGTAAGTTGATAAAAGTATAAATTTGAGAGCATTTATGATAAGTTTAGTTTTTTTTTTTTTTTTTTCCAAAACGATAGAGGAATTATATAGAAACTCAAAGAGGACAAAGTCCTAATACATTGTCAAGATACAATACAAACCGCAACCGAAAAATGAGAGACACACCGCAACGATGGTCTAAAGCCTCTAAAGGAGGAAGAACTCCCATAAGCAAACCAAGAGAAGGAGAAGAGGAAAAAGGAAAGATACAAGTGCCCTCTACTGCCAAAGCCTAGAAGGGTACATGATCATAAACTAAAAACTATAGCTGAAAAACTAAATGACAAAATATGATTAATCCAACAGACCAAAGGCAGACTGATAATGCATCCAATCGGTTTGTGCCATTTTAATCACAGAAGCTGCTGGCATTAATGAGTTTTGGAATATCCATAAGTTCCTTGACTTCCAAAGCCACCAAAGTATATATGTGGAGAGTTGTATTCGTGCTTCGGCAACTTCAGACTTGTCTAAGGAACTAATGTGGAACCACTAGGTTTTGAAAGAATCTCTGTAATCAGAGATGCCATCCCAAGTCACAGGAGATAATTTCCAGACTCTAACAGCTCTTGAGCAGTTAAGCAGGACATGCTCAATGGTTTCAGAAGCTTCTCCACAAAGAGAACAGATATGATCTACAGGGAACTTTCTTTTCTTCAGCAAAGTGGCCACAGGTAAGGTGCCTGCTATACACTTCCAGATGAAGTGTTTTAGCTTCCCAGGCATTTTAATTTTCCAAAATCTGTATGTCACAGCTTTCACAAATGATTGACCATTACTGCATTCAGGGATATCTAACTGAGCAACTTTGAGTTTAGACAGCTCATTGTATGTACAGGACACAGTGAATTGTCCTTTCTTATGAAGTCCCCACCAACATCTGTCTGATCTGTTTGGATGAAGAGATTTGATTTTAAGAATAACATCACTATCTTCTTTATCAAAAACCTGCCTAACAAGCCATTCATTCCAGGCAAGGCCATTGTCCTCCAACAGATCCTTTACCCAGATCAAGTGATTTCTTGCAAGAGGCATAAAAGTAGGAGATGGTTTCTTGAGGGCTGGTACCCAGTTGTAATATGCTATTTTGGTATCAGCTCCATTTCTGATCTCTGTGCAGATCCATTTTGCAAAGAAAGGTAATACCTCAAGCCATGAGTTCCACATCCATGATCCATTGTGAGACTTTTCAGCATGAGTGATGGCTGTTTGAGGAAAATATCTGTCCTTTAGTAACTTACTAACAAGAAGATTTGGATTTGTAGCTATCCTCCGTAGCTGTTTGCAAATGAGAGCTTTGTTAAGAATCTGCAGGTCCAAAAAACCTAAGCCACCATTCATTTTGGGAAGAGACAGAACATTCCACTTTTTCCAATGAATTCCTGAGCACTGTTGATCATTAGATTGCCACCAGTAGTTTGCACATAGTTGAGAAATTTCAGAACAAATAGTCAAAGGTAGTTTGAAACAAGACATTGTGAAGATAGGTAAAGCCTGGATTACTGATTTAAGCAAGACCTCCTTTCCAGCTGGACTGAGAAGTTTAGATTTCCAACTAAGCAATTTCCCTTTGACAGAATTTAGAATATAATCAAATACTTCTCTTTTAGATTTACCTATTCCCAGAGGTAATCCCAAATACCTGGTGGATCTGTGAGGAGTAATTCCATTGAGAGCAGAACAGATGGTGTGCTGTAGAGGTTGTGGAGTGTTTCTGCTAAAAAAGATGGCTGATTTGGTTAAATTGACTGCCTGCCCAGTAAACAATCTGTATTTTTCAAGAATATTCATAAGTACAGAAGCTTGCTCTGCTCCAGCCTTGTAAAAAAGAGGGAGTCGTCAGCAAATAGCAGGTGAGTGAGTAATGGTCCATTTCTGTAAAGTTTCAATCCTTTCAGGTGTCCTCTGTCTACTGAATTCAATATAAGAGCAGTGAGGAGTTCAACAACAATTATAAATAAGTAAGGAAACAGAGGGTCCCCTTGTCTTATTCCCCGGGAAGAAGAGACATGACAACTAACTGTTCCATTGATTTTAAAGGAGAAGGAGGTTGTTGATATGCAGATCATGATTAAATTGACAAACTCCTTTTGAAATCCCATCTTCAGCATAATATCCCTGACAGATTGCCATTCCACCCGATCAAAGGCCTTTATTAAATCTAACTTGAGAGCCATAAAGTAGTTGGGGCCTGAAGAGTGCCTGTTTAGATAATGAAAGGCTTCCTGAGCAATTATAACGTTATCCATTAACTGTCTACCCTCAACAAAAGCCGATTGATGGTCACTGATACACAATTGCAGACATGCTTTCAACCTTTGAGCCAAGACTTTGGATATGATTTTGTAAACAGTAGTGCAAAGGCTTATTGGCCTAAAAGGCCCTAATGATTCTGGGTTGAGGCATTTTGGAATCAGAGAAAGGATGGTGTGGTTTCA